TAGGCCATTTTAATAAATGTTCCACCTAACAACCTCGTAAGGCACAAGAATATTAAAACACTTACTACTAACATGCCGAGGTTGCAAGAAGAGAGAAGCTGGAGAATACAACTTGACTAGTTTCAAGCTTTCGACATCAGAGAACATGGATACTAGCACATCCGCGGTTTAGACTTTGCGATAGGGCGTCGACGCGCTGCAACGCGGTTGTGTTTCAGAAATGCCGACGGGTTCCTCAGTGTGCTTAGACAACGTGTACCCTCCCGTTGTCCTATACTTCCGTGAAACAGTTCTATGACGATCGATGCCAATCTATGGCTGTCCCTTCTATAGCATCATAGCGCTTTTGCAATGGTAGCGCGTTTAAGACAGTTTCCGCGATCCAATGATCGCGAAATGCCTACCTGCACTTGGAATCGTTGACCGTATTCGCAGAGAATATACCACTTTTGTCACTGGAAACGGAGAACTAACGAAGCTAGAGACGCGTGGTTATTGCAACCTTGCAACCACTATTAATTTCACTCTGCAAGTTAACACAACATACAAGCGAGATTGTATGTGTACATGACGTCGCCTGGAGCGTCGTAGGGTGATTTCCTGTGCTCTTGCTGGGAATCGGTTGCACTTCGAATCCTGTGACTGAACTCGCCGACGTCCGACAAACTCGTCCAAGGCGCTCACTACTACGGATGCCTCTGTCCAGAGTGTTCGCCACGTGTTTTTTTCGCTTCTCTCTCTACTGGAGAGTTACTTATGAGCTACTGGTTCATGATTAAGCACCTGCTACCCGTAACACTTGGTCGCGGGATCTCTCTTTTACGGAACTACGCGCTTTATCGCGGAGTCTGAACCCTCCGCCTAAGGAAATGGCAACTTTCGGTACTGCCCTTGGAAGGAGTTTGTCGTGATAAAAGTCATCTTAGTGGCCTTCCTAGTCTCTATCGCTACACAGGTAAACAAAATCCACCATATACCAAAACGCCCTATTAAAAAATATTCATTCATTCGTATGTAAAAAGAGTGAACACCTTCTCGAACAGCTATTGTGATCCACGATCTGGAAACAACAAACAACGATTCTATAAATACATAACAACTATATAAACTAGAGGGAGAATCACTAACGAGATTTTATATATAGTTGTAAGCTAAATCTGCTTCACTTTCTACGAAGGCAAATTCAAGTTTCACAGGTTGTTTGAGGAGTATGGACAGAAACTGCTCCGTAAACCCGAAACATCCAATAAATTCGTCGAATATCGAGACGCCGAGAGTACTGCAAGAAACCTGCTACCGTTACCACATTGCCTCTGCGTTTGATAACAATCTGAAAACAGAACGTTCACAGTAATATTCTTTCACATATTTCTTTTGCAGTAGTCCAGCCGAAAGAAGTGCTCCATGCAGTTGAAGTGAAACGGTATTTTTTTCGTAGGCTTGCCGTGATCATATGTGTGATAAAGACTATGCCTTGTAGGGTGAGAGCCGCGTTTATTACACGACCGAATGGAAGCCTGGTATCTCGTAACTGAACCAGAACTCGTCTGAACTTTTAGGCTGATTCAAAAGTCCTCGGACATTTGGAGCCTAACATTTTTTACTGCACAAAAATGAAAAACCACAGCTAGTCATTTGAAATATGCTCCATTATTATCCATGGTGTTTTGCCAACGAGGGCGTAAATGCCCCTCCTCCAGAACGTGGTTGGCTGGGCTTTGAAGAATCTATCAGTGCCTTTTCGACGTCGTCGTGGGTTTTGATTTTTGACCACTGAAATACCGTTGCAGGTCCGAGAATAGCTAGTATCAGAGGGTGCAAGGTCTGGAGGGTATGGTGGGTGGGGAATGACAGTCCAGCCATGCGTTGCTAGTTCACATTGCGTCACTGCGTTCGAAAAACTTTTGAAGAACTTTGGTAAAGCTGAAGGCGTACAGACAGCCGGTGATATTTTGAAACTCCCATGTTTTTTTAAGTGAGGTTCGCAGTCAGAAGTGATTTCTGGGAGGTGATTCCGAAATGCCTTCAGGAAAAGGCAAGGCACGAAGTTTGTGCTAATTTCTGGGGTACAAGTCGCATTTTTTCACATGGCTTCATGAACTCATGGCAGCAAAAGTACAAAAACAGAATTCCAGAAATTAGATTTGCATAAACGCAAGAAAAAGACGAGCATGTTCTTGCGAACATTTGCAGCGCCAAAGCGAAGGGGAGAGGGATAAACGGGCCATTTTATAACTTGGGTAATGATACAAAGTTTATAGTTAAACCAATCGGGCCGTCCCGGCTTCGCTGGACGATCCTCCTTCGTGTGTAGTGCGGGTCTTCCGCTTCCCCGACATTTTCGAGAGAGAGCTATTGGAATCGACTGGTCACTATGCCAAAGAAAATGTTTTCGTTTTTTTTTGAAAATGAGAGGAAGGCACTGATGCTAGCCGAAATGCAAGAAGCTGCTATCAACAGGTTAAGAATACCGATTACTCAGCAAGAGCTGTGCACTTACCTCTTCGCCAGAAATAACCACGTTCTGTGGGAAGAATCCACGTATAAATCGCCGAATCACCTCATCATGCACGACCATTAGCGGTTGTGACTGCTTGAATTCTGTAACAATCACAGACATTGAATGAGCAAATACTACAGGAATCTATGACAGAGCCATCTCTACAAATAGGTGATATTTTCACCTTCTAAGTTATGGGAATGCCAGGATAACCACGACTTTCGGACACCAATATGGTGGGGTTTCATGGCCATTTCATAGGTGAGCAGCTGTGAACGATTTACCGTCGCCTAGAATTAAGAATTACAGATTGACGCCCTTTGAAGTCAGCACTTACTTATTTGCTATATTACTGACAAATAGATATTCAACATATTCTGCTCATATGAAGACACCACTGCCACCTTCACTGGCAGTTCTGGTCGAATGAGCTGGTCTTTACGGTTCAATAACGATCTATAAGCTATGTAAGCGGCTAGAAGGCGTTCTCGAAGTGTCTCAAAACGAGTTTATAATAGTTCCCGTGCTGTAGTTGTTGGAAAAGTATAATAGCGTAACGTGTTCCCTCAACAACACGAATGGGGTTGTCAGATGGAATCTTTACTCACGCGACATTCCGAACTTCCCGCTGTTCCTTCAAGAACCTAGCGATGGTGCGACTGTGTTAAAGTGAAAATTCCGTATTTCGTGTAAAGGGGTACCAATGGCACTTAACAACGCTAGCAAGTCATCTTGTGAAGATCTGCAGATTCTTGAAAACAGAGCACCTAACTTTTACCGTTTCACAGCTTCACAGGAGTTTAACCCATTGCGTACCGCAGTGTTTTTGCGCGACGCGACTTTCTGGCGCGCTGAGTATAAAAACATAAGATTTTTATCTTATACATATAACATAAAAATATTGTACACACATCGTATATCACTTTTATATGTAGACGTATGCTAAACGGGATTCAATATTGTTACGTGATAAAAGTGATGAGCCGAAAAATGCGAAACTAGCCAAAAAAGCTTGATAAAATTAAGAAGAGCTTAGAAGCTGTTCACTCACACCATTTTACAATTTTTCAGTCGTGTACTAAGCAGGATTTCGGTTTTAATGGTAAAGGAGAGTTAATTAAAAAATATAATAGTTGAGGTATTACTCGGAAAATGCCAGCAACTTAGCTATTATTCAATCCCGCAGTTTCCCCCACACATATTTTGTCCCAGAAGACTTCAGGAATATACCGACTCTTTTCAGTCATCTAAAAATGCTAAATGAGTTCAAACGAAGAGTGCTTCACCATGTGCAGCACGCGGTACGCAATGGG